CACGTATTTTATTTAGAATTCTCGCTAATAGCTAAGATAAGTTTTTTAAAAATAAAGATTCTTTGTCTAGATTAGGAGCCTTTGACATAAAGATCGAAATTGTAGCCACTTTCATATAATTCGAGAAAAACGGTTCTGTATCAGTATCCAGATTGGACCAAACTTTATATATACCCCAAATCAAATCTCATCCCCAAATGTCTAAGCCAAATATCTGTCAGCGATGACCCTGACACTTCCCCCAGTCCACATGCAGGAATCATGTGAGATATAAATATAACCCACTCTCAGATTGCCTGTGGCAGAGTTGGAGAGCGAGCTGGGAGAGGAAGGCTGCACTCTGGGTCCGGGGGACTTGGGAGAAGTGGGCCAGTTGCAGTGAGCAGCTTTGCCTGTGAGGAGTATTTCTCTTTATCAGCTCTGTGACTTTAGAGAACAGAAACCCTCTCTTAGAAAAGGAGGACCTCTTCCTAAGGAAACTGCTAAATCTCAACATTGTTTACTTTCATGCACCTGTGGAGGCTATGGCAGGAGCGCAGGTGTTAGTCTCAGGAGACCCAGAATCAGAGCATAGAACTGGTCCTCCGGCGGCTCTGCGCACTCTTTCAGGCAGCTAGCTATGTTGGTTAATCCATGAAATGCAAGCTAAGTAGCTTTAGCAGGTTGTGGTGAGCAATTATTTGAAGAAATGGAGAGAAGCAATTTAAGAATTTAAGAAAGGTAGACATTTCCATTCAAGTGGACCAAAGCCACGAACAGTGGATGGATATAATTAAATGATACATGGGTTGGCACTGTGGCATAATAGGCTAATAAGCCTCTGCCTGTGGTGCCGGCTTCCCATATGGGTACTGGTTTTGTCCCGACTGCTCCTCTTCCAATCCAGCTCTCTGCTTATGACCTGGGAGAACAATGGAAGATGGCCCAAGTCCTTGGGCCCCTGCACCCATGTGGGAGACCCAGAAGAAACTCTGGCTCCTGGCTTTGGATTGGCTCAGCTCCAGCCATTGCAGCCATTTAGGGAGTGAACCAGCCGATGGAAGACCTTATTCTGTGTCTCTCCCTCTCTCTGTCTTTAGCTCTACCTCTCAAATAAAAATCTTTTTTAAAAAATTGATACAACCTTTTAAAAAAGAATGTATATAAAATAGAGAAACCATACATGTTGGCAGAGAAAGGAACATAATTCCTTGACAGATAATTAACAAAAGTTAATTTTAAAATATAAGTCATCCAGAAGTATAAGCCATTAAATCAGGGGTGGGGAGTGTATAGCCTGTGAAATCTTAAAAAAAAGATTTATATATTTATTTGAAAGGCAGAGTTACAGAGAGGCAGAGAAAGAGAGAGAGAGATTTTCCTTCCACTGGTTCGCTCCCCAAATGGCCACAGCGACTAGAGCTGGGCTGATCCGAAGCCAGGAGCCAGGAGCTTTTTCTGGATCTCCCACAAGGGTGCAGGGGCCCAAGGAGTTGAGCCATCTTCTGCTGCTTTTGCTGTCCCAGGTGCATTAACAGGGAGTTGGATCAGAAGTGGAGCAGCTGGGACTTGAATTGGCACCCATGTAGGATGCCAGCACTGCATGCAGTAGTTTTACCTGTTATGTCACAGCACCAGCCCCAGGCAGGCTAATTTTTTAAGTTGATAATTTTGTATGGCTCATGAATGTTCGTTCGTTCTTTCTTTTTTTTTTTTTTTCTTTTCACAGGCAGAGTGGATAGTGAGAGAGAGACAGAGAAAGGTCTTCCTTTGCCGTTGGTTCACCCTCCAATGGCCGCTATGGCTGGCGCACTGTGGTCGGCGCACCACGCCGATCCGAAGGCAGGAGCCAGGTGCTTCTCCTGATCTCCCATGGGGTGCAGGGCCCAAGCACTTGGGCCATCCTCCACTGCACTCCCGGGCCACAGCAGAGAGCTGGCCTGGAAGAGGGACAACAGGGAAAGAATCCAGCTCCCCAACCGGGACTAGAACCCGGTGTGCCGGCACCGCTAGGTGGAGGATTAGCCTCTTGAGCCAGGGTGCCGGCCGGTTTTTAAAAATATTTAGATAAATGGCTCTTGGCAGAAAAAAAGTTTCTCCACCCCTGCTTTAAATCAACTTCTATCATTTCTATTATTATGTATCTCTCTCTCTCTCTCTCTCTCTCTCTCTCTCTCTCAAGATTTTATCTATGTGAGAGGTAGAGTTACAGGGGGAGAAGGAGAGAGAGAGAGAGAGAGAGAGAGAGAGAGAGAGAGAAAGATCTTCCATGTACTGGTTCATTCCCCAAATGGCCTCAATGGCCAGAACCGAGCTGAACTGAAGCCAGAAGTCTGGAGCTTCTTCTAGGTCTTCCACGTGGGTGTGGGGGCCCAAGCACTTGGGCCATCTTCTACTGCTTTCCCAGGCCAGAAGCAGAGAGCTGGATCAGAAGAGGAGCAGCCAGGACACTAACTGGTATCCACATGGGATGCTGGCGCCACAGCACCAGCCCCTATTGTGAATCTCTTATAAAATGTAAGAAGTGGGACTGGCGCTGTGGCACAGTGGGTGAAACCCTGGCCTGCAGTGCTGGCATCCTATAAGGGCACCGGTTCAAGTTCTGGCTGATCCACTTCCAATCCATCTCCCTGCTTATGCACTTGGGAAAGCAGCAGAGGATGGCTCAGGTCATTGGGCCCTTGCACCCGCATGGGAGACCCAGAAGAAGCTCCTGGCTTCAGATCAGCTCAGCTCTGGCCATTGCAGCCATTTTGTTGGTGAACCAGTGGATGGGAGACCTCTGTCTCTCCCAGTGTAACTGTCTTTCAAATAAATAAAATAAATATTAAAAAAAAAAAATGTTAGGTGGCAGGCATTTGGTACAGTGCTTAGATCTCTGCTTGGGACACCTACATCCCATATTAGAGTGCCTGGTTCCAGTCCAGGCTACTGTGTTTCCAGTCCAGCTTTCTGCTAATGCACACCCTGGAAGACAGCAGTTACTTGGGCCTCTGCCACCTTCTGGGCTCCTGGCTTTGGCCTGGCCCAGCTCTGGCTGTTGGTAGGCATTTGGGGAACAAATCAGTGGGTGGAAGATCTGTCTCTGTCTCTGTACTTCTGAAATAAAATGAAAATAAATAAACTTTTAAAAGAGCTGTTAGAGTACTTATTTAAAATTTTTGTGTATTTGATACAAACTGAGTATTACTTGTATTTAGAAAGTATTTTTGCTGGGGCCAGTGTTGTGGCGCAGTGGGTTAGCTGAGGCCTGTGATGCCAGCATCCCAGATTGCAGCATGGATTCAAGTCCTGACTGCTCCACTTCCTATCCAGCCCCCTGCTAATGCACCTAGAAAAGAAGTGAATGATGACCCAAGTACTTGGCTTCAGCCTGGGCCAGCCCTGGCTGTTAACAGGTGTTTGTGGAGTGAACCAGAGGATGGAAGAGTCTCTCTCTCTCTTTCTTTCTTTCACTTTCTCTTTCTCTCCCTCTATTACTCTGCTTTTTAAATAAACAAATAAACCCTTTTTTAAAACGCATTTTGCCTTCATTTTTCACAAAGTATACAGTAGCATGGCATTAGTAATGAAGATGAGTTACAGCGTTATCCAGGCACATCCAGGTGCTCCTCTTTCCTTTCCCTCCCACCCCTCTGCTTCCAGCAAAAACATAAAATATAAAAGCAAAGTCCAACAAGTGATAGCCTGGCCCAACCACAGGACAGATGCGTCCATGGATCAGAAGCACAGCAGAGCTGCAGAACTGCCAGGGGAAGCTGCAGCTGCCTGGCCTCGGGAGCTGATTGCACCCCTTGGAGGGAGGCAGTCCCAAAGCCTCTCTTGAAAGGGATGGGGGGTTGGACACCAGGAGCCAGGCTTTTCAAAAGACATGAGTGGCCTGGTTAAGGAGAGGACACAGATAAATAAGTTAAGATGTTCGAAGAGCAAATCCTTACACTCTATTAAAAAGGTAGAAAAAGGTGCTGTGGCATAGCAGGTAAAGCCCCAGCCTGCAGTGCTGGCATCCCATATGGGTGCCAGTTTGAGTCCCGGCTGCTCCACTTCTTATCTGGCTCTCTGCTATGGCCTGGGAAAGCAGTAGAAGATGCCCAAATCCTTGGGCCCCAGCACCCATGTAGGAGACGGGAAGAAGTTCGGGCTCCAAATTGGCCCAGCTCTGGCCATTGTGGCCATTTGGGAAGTGAACCAGCAGATGGAAGACTCTTCTCTCTCCCTGCCACTGCCTCTCTGTAATTCTGACTTTCGAGTGAATAAATAAAATCGTTTTTAATAAAAAAGAAAGAAAAATGTCACGGAAACAAAAGCGTACATGATTGGAACAGGCAGATATGAAAAAATAGGAATGGAAATACCAGTCTAGTTAAGAAAATTAATCAGTTGAAATAGACTAAAAAATTTATCTTTAATGCACAAATCTAAACAAGTATGCAAGGGCTAATGGGAGTTAGTACACACTAAAACATTCTAACCAACTACTACTGGAGATGCCCCTTTGCAACCCCGTGTGTTTCCATCACAATAACCTATTGCTGGCAGAATTAGTCTGTTTTCGTTGACACAAGTCTTCCTGAAGTCCTGCAGGGTGCTGGGCTCCTCCTGCACAGCAAACACGGACACCAGCAAACCAGTTAGCAAGGGTCTTGGCACCCCATGGATCTTGCCTTCCGGCCTGTTCCTCACTGTGCCTCCAGCTCACACGCTGTTTCCTAGCTTAGGTCAGGCAGTCAGTATGTATTTGTAGCTAAATGACTGCTTTCCTGATGGCTTCATGGCCTTGATTTGCTTGCTCTTTTAGGCTGTGGGAAGAGAAAGTTGGAGGACTTCTCTCTCCTCAGAGTGTACCCAGCTGTGGTCAGTCTACGGCTGGGACACACAGGTAGGCTGGTGTAACCTCCACACCTGGAGTGCACCCCACCTGTGTCCTCTGGTCTTTTCTTTCTGTTTTACAGACTGCTCCAGAAGGCTGCCATTAAGGCCCGCGGGAAACAGTGTGTTAATTTTTCCCTTTCATTTTTCAGGCTGGAGTAAAAGGGACATTGGGAAGACTAGTTGGAATTTTTGAGGTAAGTCTTCTACACCCTTTGGTATAAATGTATGTTAATATAATAACCACATATATCCTAATTGAGGGAAGAGGCCATCTCTGTCACCTGTGTAAATGCAGAAGCACCATCAGAGGATAACTAGCATTCTCTCTTCAAATCCTGCGGGCTTCTCCTCTAGACAACTGGAATAATTTGCTTTACTATATAGCCCATTCCTACTTTTCTATCTCTGTTCCCAAGGTGGGAGGAAAGATAGGTAAGTGTCGAGAAAAGAGGAAAATTAGCAGACACGGAGCTGTCGCAGAGGAAGGGGGATTTGAAATGAAGTGGAAGGCGTGGGAGACTGCGGGATAAAGATGAGCAGAGTGGTTTGGAAGGAGGGCAGTGTTCAAGACACTTGGCTTGTCGGCCTCGATGGCAGCACCACGCCGTCCCTACCCACTGTCTCACTGGTTAAACGGACGTGCTGCTCATTGAGAAGTCACAGTGTTCATGTGAACCTGCAGCTGGAGGAAGGAGAAGGGAGAATGAGTATAAAACTTCAGCTCCAGAAGTGGGCCAGAGAACACACCCTGAATTCATTCATATTGGCCGAGAGGCAGGCATCTGGTGCAGCTGTGAAATCACTCACTGCTCAGGACGCCTGCATCCCATGTCACGGTGCCTGATTCTCGGCTCAGCGGCTCAGCTTCCTGTTCAGCTTCCTGCTCGTGTGGCCCTAGGAGGCAGCAGGTAATGGCTAAAGTCCTTGGGTCCCTGCCACTCAGTAGAAGACCTAGACTGAATTCTGCACTCCTGGCTTCAGCCTGGCCCCCAGCCCCTGCTGTTGCAGGCGTTGGGGGAGTGACTCAGCGAGTGGAAGAGCTCTCTCTGGCTGCTGCTCTGTCTCTGCCTTTCGGGTGAAATGAAACTGAAGAAATGGGCCGTGATTGTAGGGCAAGATAAAGGAAGAGGAGTCCTGTGCCTGTGCTCTAGACAGTGTGGTGACTGTGTTACATGAAAGTAATCTCCGCTGTCCTTTCAGAACCAGGAGAGGAAGCACAGGACGTATGTGTACGTGCTCATTGTCACAGAAGTGCTGGAGGACTGGGAGGACTCCGTGAACATCGGTAAGTCGTCACCAGAGAGGCCCGCTGAGTCCCAGCACCAGCCCTTGCCTCACTTTAGGTCCTTCCCCAGGAGCCTGGTAACAGAAGAAATAACACAAGGCTGTGTGTGGTAAAGCAAGCGTGTGTGTATTTTGAACTTGAGAAGCTAGTATTTTGAAATGTGTGAAAGGAAGCTGTGTTGGGTACATCGTCAACAAATAGAAACATGGCCCATAAAAGTCCAGTGATTGTTTCTGTTATCACAGTGGATCATCTCTAGAGGGTTCTGCTTTGGTACCTCCTGGGCAGACATGGACAGAGGGCCCGCTCACTGCCAGGAGGTGAAGCAGGACCCTGGCCTTACTCCTCACGGCACTCAATCATACTGATACAGAAAACTCTTGGATGGCGGCCCTGACCTCAAAGGCAATCAGTAGATGTAAGGTGGGAGGGGTCGTTTCCAGTTTTATTCCTGGTACCTGCCCTGCAGGGACACCCAGCTTTCTCCTGAGGATCCATTTTCTCAGACCACTGCTGTGTGTCTGTCCTGAACAAGCAGCTGAGGTGCTGTGTGGTTCACTCATGTTTTGATTTTTTGCCTCTGAAGCAAAGTATGTTCTAGAGCAGCATAATTGCTGTTAGAAATTGGCAGGCAGAGGCCAGCGCCGCGGCTCACTAGGCTAATCCTCCACTTTGCGGCGCCGGCACACCGGGTTCTAGTCCCGGTCGGGGCGCCAGATTCTGTCCCAGTTGCCCCTCTTCCAGGCCAGCTCTCTGCTGTGGCCCGGGAGTGCAGTGGAGGATGGCCCAAGTGCTTGGGCCCTGCACCCCATGGGAGACCAGGAAAAGCACCTGGCTCCTGCTTTTAGATCAGCGCGGTGCGCCGGCCGCAGCAGCCATTGGAGGGTGAACCAACGGCAAAGGAAGACCTTTCTCTCTGTCTGTCTCTCTCTCTCTGTCTACTCTGCCTGTCAAAAAAAAAAAGAAAGAAAAATTGGCAGGCAGATAAAATTTGTTCACCAAAACCCTTCCTTTATTATTAGTGTGCACTTTGCTGCCATATACCCCTCCTGCTGTTAACATGGATGGTTCATAGCTCTTCTTCTCCTAATGGCTTTATACATAATAATAATGTGGTATGCATAAATGAATGCTTTCAGTATGGATATACTGAAAATAAACTCCTTGATAACCAGTGCTGAGGGCTGGAAAGGAGGCAGAAATGAATACAGTGTGGTCCTGTCCTCAGGTCAGTCTGTCTGGCAAGAACCTCACATTCATAGCACTAATTTTTAAGGCACCAGTTGCTCTGTTACTATCCAGTGGGAGAGTAAGCCTTTGAGCTTCCTTCCAAATGGCCTTCCTGGAATTACCCTTACTAGGAAAAAAAAAGGGGGGGGGGTCTTAAACATACAACACAGGGCAGGCATTGTGGTACAACAGGTTACGCTGCTGCTTAGGATGCCAGCATTCCATATTTGAGTGGCAGTTCGAGTCCCAGCTGCTCTGCTTCTAATCCCGCTCCCTGATGCTAATGTATCCTGGGAAAGCAGTGGAGGATGGCCCAAGTGCTTGGAACCCTCTCACCCACGTGGGAGACATGGAGTTCCTGGCTCTTGGCTTCAGTCTCGTCCAGCCCTCACTGTTGCAGCCACTTGAGTAAAGCAGTGGAGGGGAAATCTCTCTGTCTCTCTGCCCTCTCTCATTCTGCCTTTCAAATAAATAAATAAATATTTTTTTTTAAAAAGAGTCTTGGGTGGTCCTGTGGTACAGCAGGTTAACCCCGGCCTGCAGTGCTGGCATCCCATGTGGGCACCAGTTCAAGTCCTGGCTGCTCCACTTCTGATCCAGCTCTCTGCTGATGCGCCTGGGAAAGCAGCAGAGTATGGGTGGCCCAAGTCCTTGGGCCCCTGCACCTGTGTGGGAGACCCAGAAGAAACTCCTGACTTTGGATTGGCTTGGCTCCAGCCGTTCCAGCCATTTGGGGAGTGAACCAGCAGATGGAAGCTCTTTCTGTCACTACCTCTCCCTGTAACTTTGTATTTCAAATAAATAAAATAAATTTTTAAAAATAATAATAAAAGAGTTATATAGAGCTACATTAAAATAGTAAGTTGAGAGTCTGGCATTGTGTTGTAGCAGATTAAGCATATGGGTGCCGGTTTGAGTCCTGGCTACTCTACTTCAGATCCAGCTCCCTGCTAATGCACCTGGGAAAGCAGTGGAATATGGCCCAAGTTCCAGGCTCCTGGCTTCAGCCAGGGCCATTGCGGCCATTTGGGGAATGAACCAGCAGATGGAAGATCGTGTACTGTGTCTCTCCTCGTGCCTTTAACTCTGCCTTTCAAATAAATAAAAAATAAAACTTAAAAAAAAAAAAAGTTGAAAACAAAACAAAGTACCAGTTTTCACCTAAAGAATTAGCAGTAGTAAAAGGTAACAGTGCTGGCAGGGATGTAGTGAGACACATGAACAGAATTGGTGTAGCCTTTCCGGAAAACACTTTGGCACTATGTATCCTGAGCCCTTGAACATGCAATGCTTTGTTCTTGTGGCCATTGCGCTAGGGATCTTTATCTGGGAAATTTAAAAAAGAAAAGCGGGAAGAAAGACTTCCTATGAAATATTATTTAAGCTAAAATTGTAATTAAATTGTAGGCTACTGGTTTCTAATGATAGGAAAATGATTAATTGAATGACAGTACATCCATGCTGGGTATTATGATGTACTGTAGCCATTACATGTCATACTTTTTTTATAACAAAATATTGCTTAAGAAGCAACAGAAGTAAAAAAGAACGAGTAACAACTAAAAAGCTAACTTCACAGTGTGCGCTGTGTGCCAGGTGCCTTTCAGGTGTTTTGTATATCGACCCTCAGGATGGTCTTGTGAGGTCCACACCCTGCTTATCACCTCTGTCGGTGAGGGGCATGGGCATGGAGGGGCCCGGTGCCTTGCCCGGGTCACACGCTCCGCTCACCGGGGCTGGAGCTGTGTGGGAACCCAGCACGTGGGCCAGAGGCCTGTGTCGGCAAGCCTTCCTCTACTCTCGCCCGCAGGCTCGGAAACTTGCCCGTTGCTCCCCTCTCGTACTAACTTCTTTTTCTTCGTGCCTCCGCAGGAAGGAAGAGGGAATGGTTTAAAATAGAAGATGCCATAAAAGTGCTGCGTTGTCACAAACCCGTGCAGGCGTCGTACTTTGAAACGCTGAGGCAAGGCTACTCGGCCAACAATGGCACCCCGGTTGTGGCCACCACGTACTCGGTTTCTGCTCAGAGCTCCATGTCAGGCATCAGATGACTGAAGACTTCCTGTAAGAGAAAGGGAAATTGGAAACCAGACTGAAATGCAGATCCTCCCTCTCACCCTGGCTCTCTCCGCCTCTCCTCACAGGCCTCCTCTTTCTAATACAGCATGATGGGCAGCAGAGCAAGGGGTGCTGGTGACGCTGCTGCCGGGGTTACGCGGTGGGCTGCTGCTGCTTATCCGGGGGTGGGTGGGTAGGTAACTGTGAGTATTTTGTGCATGCTCTGTCCCCCTCTTTGCGCCCCTGCAGGCCTCTGAAGAGGCAAACAGCGTTCCCTCCCTTGGATTCCAAAATGTTCCTGTTGGCCTCCGCCCAGTCCTGGCCAGAGAGTTTTCTCTGATTTTTTTTGTAATTAAAAGATACCAACGTGAGAGAACTTTTCAAGAACTTGTCCTGTAGTGTGCTGTGTGGTCCAGTAGGTCGGTCATTTTCACTGCAGGACGCATTTATCTACACATTATATACCGGACATATAATATGTAAATAAATGGCTTTTAGAAGGAGGAATTTAACTGTTTGCTTTTTCAAGCTTTTTTTTTTTTTAATTTGGTACATTTCTGAAATGGAGGGCCTCACAATTACTTAGCTTTTTGCTTTTGATGCTAGTGACTAGGCAGGTTTCCCCATCCTCCGTTCCCCAGGCAGTGAGGGAAGCGCTGGCGGCCTTTGTAGTGCTCCCGGGGCTCCTGGCCTTCCTTCCCTTCTCTAAGCTGGGTTTCCCCGCCAACAAAGAAACAGGAAGAAATCAACTGGCTCAGCCCAGATCCGGAGAAACAGTGATAGATGCTGGATTCTGCCCTACCTGTTGCTGATAGGGCTTGAACTGGATCCTTAGGATGGCTGTCTAAAAACCGGAGCCTCGAATGCCATTTGTGTCTGCGTGGTTCGGAATCCGCTCCAGAATGCGGCCTATCTCCTCCAGCTGCTGCTCCTCCTGTCCATCTAGGCCTTAGCCGTACTGACCTGGCTGTTGCCTTGTGCACCGAGGCATCTGGCTGTACCTTACAGAAGTGCAGCGGCAAAGTCCTGCCCTCACACCTGCTGCTGTGTGAAGTTCCTCGCCCCTGGGAGCGTGCTCAGAGATGCCAAACTCTGCTCCCACCAGGACGGGGGAGGTCTGTCTGCAGCCTGGGGGGCGACAGGAGGCCGCTTAGTCATTTACTGGAGCGGATGCTGGCTGGTTGGTTTCTGATACAGGTTCATGCTGGCTGCATTTGCTAATTGTGTTGTTTAGTTGAGAAGTAAAATGGTCTTGAAAAGGGTCTCGCCTGAGGGTTGGGCATGGGGGAGGGGGGCACTGATTGATCCCTGGCTTGGGACAGGAGATTGTTGCTATACTTGTAGTGGCGTCTCCTTTGTCAAATCATAGCCAAGATGTGAAATTAAAATCATAGCTCTTTATTTAAAAATTCTAATAAATATGCAAACTTTGAACAGCTTTTGCGCTTCTTCCCACTAAAAAGAAATGCACGTGTCTGGTAGAGCTGTGCCGTTTAGTGTTCAGCAGTTCTGGAGACATCAGCTGACGAGCTCTCAATTTTGCTGTCTGTTCTCAGTTGGTGTCTTCTCTCAGTGTGGGAACAGTCAGAAGGCAGCACCTCAGAGCCCTTGAAAGGGACCCGGCCGCAAGCAGGCCCCGGGGATAGAAGCGCAGTCACCTCGGGCTTTGAGCCTGAGCACCAGCTTGCTGTTCACGTGTCCTGTATCAAAACAAACACTGCTGCTCTTTGCCTGACTCGGCGCATTCTAAGCTTCTGCCCAAATAGATGCGAAGTAGAATCCACAAAGTACGCGGTCACAGATAAATGCCAGCCTTAGGAGTGTGCTGCAGGTGCTCCTGCCAGCGGAGCTCGGGGTCCGTCAGCTGTGCGCTCGCCTGCTCGCTCTCATGCTCTGAAGATGTTTTGGCTGGATTGCTGGGACAATAGACTGCTCCCAGAAGTGCAGTTTGGATTGTTGCTGGTGTCTTGGGTCAGGAGAGTGAACTGGTGACGTGAATGGGTCCTATTATCGCGGTTAGCTAGAGAGAGCATCCTGATGCCTTCTTAGCTGACAAAGGGATGCTTTGTCCAACGCCAGAGTTGTCAGAACTGGTGCTGTTGCCCTGGGACTCCAGTGAGCTGGGGTTGGTGTTTTCTCTCCCTGGCACTGTGCGTGGATGGCTGTTTTTACTGATGTGTAGTTACAGTCTTTGTGACAGACAAGGCGGTTGTCCGGCTGAAATGACCTGTATCTCCAGTGACCCTGCTTGTGGGATGTTTCACTGGCATCGATCGGCCATTAGTTCTGCCAGTGCTGGCTTTGTGGAAACAGGCCCCTGTGTTTCGGACAGGCAGATGCCGTCTCGTGCTCGCAGGACATTTGCAGATCCTGGTTATTACGAGATCATCCATCATAGGCCACTGGATTCAGGAGAGAAAAAGTATGTAATGGGGGTTTTAATTAAAACTTGTTCTTAGCTTGTAAATTGTAGCCATTTGGGAAACACCAGTAAGGTCCTGCAGCCTCTGTGGATCAGGACTTAATTATGTGTGTGAGAGAGAGAAGGGAGTGGACCACAGGAAAGAGTACAATCCATGAGACAGGAGTCTGGATTTTTCTCCTAGCAAACCTAACAGGATGGAACAGTTAATGAATCGGTTGTGTTCTGTTTGTACAAGTGTCTTCTGTCCCGTCTGCCCTTCCTGGAGAGGGCCCCTCACTGCGGGGGCTAGGCTGAGCCATCTGGCAGGGGTCAAAGGGTATGGGAGTGTCGTCCCCTCTGAGACCACAGAAGGCTAGAGGGTGGCCACACTGCTTGACTTCCGCCCTCGGCGTGGCGCCGTGCACCCTGCAGGGGCCCTAAGGCCTTGCTCGCACAGCCTCGGGGAGCAGGGCAGGTCACTGCCCGCAGGTCTCTTGTGCAGGAGGTGTGTAAATGTGGTGCTGCGTGGTCAGTGCCTCGGCGGCAAGGACATATTTTCTGTTTTGATGTTAGGAGTCAGCCCGTGTGGAGTCTCACAGGCAAGCCTAGAAGCGAAGACTCACTTCTGTGGGTTTTTTTAAAGAAGAAAAAAGGTCTGGGCAAAACCATTCTTCCTCCTCCTCCTGCTCCTCCCCTTTGCTCTTCTCCACTCCCTCCTCACTCTCTGATGGCTCCTTCCAGCCCTCCGTAGCCAAAGGTGTCGTCAGTCTTTGGGGAGCCCTGGTGTACATGCCACATACTGGAGCCCACGGACTTCTCACGGCCGTTCGGGCTGCCGTTAGCCTTTGTACAGTCATAATTCTCATCGTCGTCTTTTTTCTTTTCTTTTTTTTTTTTTTAACAGCTTAGCCTGAGCCACATGCATTTTGTTAACAAAAAGGATGTTAGTATCCACAGTGTGATTTTTCCACAGTTGTGTGATTTTAATATTTCTGAAGTATGCTTTCAGCCCATTCTGGTTGAGAGTTGAAATATCTGGAGAAGTCTCCATGTGGGGTTAATTTTTGCTTTCTTGTTTTTGTTTTGTTTTGTTTTGTTTTAAGATTTATTTATTTACTTGAGAGGCAGAGTTACAGACAGAAAGAGAGACAGAGAGAGAGGTCTTCCATCTGCTGGTTCACTCCCCAGCATGGCCACAACGCCGGATCTGGGCTGATCTGAAGGCAGGAGCCAGGAGCGTCTTCCAGGTCTCCCGTGTGCCTATAGGGGCCCAAGGACTTGGGCCATCTTCTGCTGCTTTTCCAGGCCATAGCAGAGAGTTGGATGGGAAGTGGAGCAGCCGGGACTCAAACCAGCGCCCATATGGGATGCCGGCACTGCAGGTTTCACCTGCTGCACCGCAGCGCCGGCCCTGAATTTTTGCTTTCTTAAGAGAAATGAGAATTGGCTGTAATTGATAATAGAATTTTATCATGGTGCCATCTGTATTTCAGAATACAATCCACAGATTTCCAAAAAGTGCAAGGCATGCAGGGACAGGGAGGGAGGAGATTACTTAAAATGATTAAACGATGCAAACAGCTCCTCTGGTTCTCATTCTGAACGATTCTGAGCGAGGCCAGAGCCAAGGCCTGTGGTTCCGCTGCCCGTGTTAGTGGCTCAGCCTGGCCTCTGTTAGGCGGATGGGAATGGTCACCCAGACCAGCCTGTGCATTGACCTCACTGCTCATGAGGGCTGTGTTTTCCTTGTCACTTTCAGTGTCACCAAAAGCAGTGAGATATTTGAGACATTAAAATAAAAATTCCTGATCTGAGGAACATTGACTGCAATCGGTCAAAGATTCTGTTGTGCCCGCATCTGGTTGCGTTGAGATTCTGGGGCCCGGGGATTTCGGGCGCTCTCCTTTGAGGCCCCCGGCCTCCCCACCCTGCCTCTCAGAGAACAGCTAGTTTTGCTGTAACCCAGAAACTTGTGTGTAGCTGATAACCTTTCGGGGCATCTGAGAAAATGATACTTCTCACCTTTCCGTTCGTCAAATAGTTGTCTTCCTGGCCCCCTTAAGGCCCAGAAAGGAGAAAGAAAGCTCCGAGTTGTGTTGGTCTGGGCACGCTGCGTGCGTGAGGGCAGCAGGCCCGTGGTTTGGCTGTGCCCGCCCTGCAGCCTTGTGCACAGTGATCGGTGAGGTTGAGCGTCTCCTGGAACGGGAGGCTGCCGCCCGGGGAGGAGCCGAGGCGAGCTGTGAGCACTGCATGGGCAGGCCAGCCGGAGCTGCAGAAGAAGGTGCTTTTGCCAGAAAGAAAGATTCTGACCTAGGAGGCGGGAGGGCCACTGCTGCTGTCCCTCCTGCAGTCCGTTCAGTCACTCCCAAGTTTGCTTTGGTTTACATTCCCAGTTCTTAGCCATAATTTACAGTCCCGAATAGAGGCTTTAGAGGATAGACGAGCCGCAGCATGCCCGCGCTGCCCAGGTCATGGCCGTTTCGGTGTGCTCCCTTCGGCCCCAAAGCCAGGCCAGTGTGTGGTGCTTGTAATCGTGAATCAAAGAGCCACTCATGGCCTGGACTGATCATCAGCTCAGTGCTTGTTATCTGTGGAGAGCTTTTCAGAGACCTTGGGACGGTACAGTGAAATAGCTTTTCTGGCTTGAGGTCCCAATGAGGAATCTAAATTTAAATTTGAATGGATAAATTTATTTATTCAGAAGGCAGGCTGGCAGGTGTCCCATCTGCGGGGTCACTCCCCAGATGTGAGCAGGAGGTGCTGGAACTCCAGCCTGGTCTCCTGCATGGCCACTTCCGCTGCCTCCAGGTACGTTAGCAGGAAGCTGGGTTAGAAGCGGAGCAGCTGGGACTGTCACTCACGTGGGATGTCAGCTTAGCCTGCTGCACGCCAGACCCTGAAATCAAAATCTTAATTCTTTGAAGTCCTTAGGAAAAGGTCAGAAGTGCTGGGCCTTACAACAGAACCCCCTTCTCTGTGTGTAGAGTGGTGGTGTCACCTGTGGGAAGTCCCTCTGCCAGGGAGAGGGCCTGGTGGTCCCTGTCTTCCAGCACTTGTGTGCGGGACTGGAAACGAACCTTAGCAGTGCCACCTTAGCTGAGGCACCGCTTGTCCCTCTGCCACCGATGAGACGCTCTGCAGCCTTCAGCCTTGGTCTTTCACCTCCGTCTGTTGTGGAGGAAGCGTGTCGCTAATAAGTGACCCAAAGGACATCTGCTCTTGGTTACTCAGTTACAGCAGTTTACCAACTAAAATGGGGGCCCGGAGGGGTTAGGCTGACGGTGGACGCACCTAGGAACAGTACTGAGAATGATGGGTCTGCCCCACACACGGTCTCCCCGGGCCGCGGGGCTGCGGCTGGGCTGGGGAGAGCCTCGAGGCTCTGGAGAGGGAGCGCCTGCCCAGGAGCAGAGGCTGTGTCCTCCCCAGCACAGGGGCCGTCTGGGCTGCAGCCTGCCCTTTGACCTCTGCCCTGTGGCCGAGAGCGGTTCTGCTTAGATCTTTGCCAAGGAGACTCTGCTGCCAGAGTTCTGCCGAGGCCTCCGAAGGCTTCATCCTTTCACTTCCACCCGAGGAGTCCGGGCACCCGCCGTGTCGTCTTCATTAGTGGTTAGAGCAGTGTTTGGTCCACTCTGGTGTGGAAGAAATGTGGACATGCTGCAGCTTTGTTCGTGACGCCTGTTACATCCATTCTGCTGCTTCCTGGCCAGGGGGGTGGGGCGGAGGAAGTGAGTCCCGTCAGTGTCTGTCTGAAGAAGCACCCGGACTGGTGCCAGTGTGTCCGTCAGGACATCAGCGGCCTGGCCTAGGCTGCAGGAGCCTTGGCTTCCATGCTTTCCAGTGATCTTGGTAGGGGCTGGGTTCCGAGGAGGCGGGGAGGCCCCAATTCTGTTGGCCTCCCTCTGGGGGTGACCTCCAAACAGCCCCAGGTTTCCTCACCTCGACGCCATCAGCATCACAAAGGGCAACAGCCCCAGGACCAGCCTCCAAGGGGCTGTGCTGTCTCCCTGTGGCGGTGCACTGTTCACAGGGGTCTCCAGGGAAGCCCTCCTGAGGTCAGGTCACCTGGATACTGTGAGCTGGCCTCTTCCCCCGCACAGGCGTCCTGCTCCTTCCGCCTGGTGCACATACATTTCAGCTGAGGCCTAAGTGCTGGGGATTGTCTCCAGAACCGGGCCGGGCCCCGTGTGCCCGGGCTGCTTCGCGATGTAGAAAGGCAGGAAACCACAGCCAGCAGGCTGGGTCACCTTTGAAGAGGAGGGTGAGCACGGCCCCTGTGAGTGCCGCCGGCTAGGAGTCCACACAATGGCGCCGTGGGGAGGAGGCTTGGTTGTGATCCTAGGTCCCGTGGCGCCTGGTGCGTGCAGGGTCACGAAGCCGGGGCTCGGTGATCCTGCCCTCGGCCCGGGGCCGATGCGCTCTGGGATTCGGAGCCACCAGGCTGCGGGCGCGTGGCCTTGCACTTTGTTTCCCAGGCCGCATTGCTTGCTATTGCTTGGACGTTTGAGCTTTTCCTCTGGCCTGCGCAGGGCCGTGTCCGGGGCCTGGCCTCCTCTCCGTGTCTTCACTGCGCTGCAGGGGGTTTGGGCCAGAGAAGTCAGGAGGAAACTGAGCTTTCCTGTTTCCTGTTCTCAAGGTGGGTGTTGCAGGGCTCCTCCCCGCCCCCGCCCATGGGTGCGGTGGCCAGGTCCTAGGATTGTGCAGGAGAGTGGAGAGGAAAGGGCCACCAGGCCACTGGGCTGGCCTAAGACAGGTGCACAGCAGATGCCACCCCACCTCCCCCTTAATAGCAACCATGTGTAACCCTTCCCCATCCTTGCTAACACGTCCCCTGTGTGGCGCCAGCAGCAGCGGACAGACCCTTCCCCGTGGCTGGAGCACGCCTCGGTACTGCACTAGGAGCCCTAGGAGCCCGGTGCCCCTCTCCTTTTGTACAAATGCTTAAGCCTGTGAGCGTCCCCTCCTCTCCATCCTGTTAACCCTTTCCTTGTCTGAGCTGTGTGGGAGGGAAGGGCATGCCACTGTAGGTTGTAATCTTGTGCCAACCAATAAAAAGCAGTATTTCCCACACGCATCCCTGTTAGTGTCCGGTCTCTTCTTTCCGGAGTCTTCCTTCAGGCCTTGGTTTCGCCCCCCCATCCCGCTCCTGGGTTCCTGGGAATTGCCTTAGAGGTCGGGGTGGCTCTGTGGAAGATGGGCCGTACCCGTCCAGGGAGTTCAGGCGAGGAGCAGGAGGAGCAGTGAGGTTGCAGCCAGCCCTGCGCGCGGTTCCCAGAGTGCCCAGCGCCGGGCTGGGGCTGCCCCCGCCAGGGCCCAGGAGCAGGAAGAGGAAGGAGGTGAGACACGTCCAGGACCGCAGGGAAGCAGAGCACAGCGGCTCTCCTGGGCGGGGAGGGGCTGGAGGTGCCGGGCCTCCTCAGTGGGAGGGCAGCAGTGAGGGAGCCGCGCCCTGCTGCCCCCAAGAAGGAAAGGACAGCATTTCGAGCTGTAATGAAGATGAAGTATCATGAGGTCAACTGAGGGAAAACTGCAAAGAGAGGGCAGCCCGAGGAGTTGGCGCTCCCTACATTCCTGAGCGGGGCAGCTTTGGCTGTGGTGTCGGCCATGTCAAGGAGCGGCCGGCAGGACAGCTTAGAGGGGAGCAGCCCGGAAGCCGTTCTGTACCAGATCCGAGACTGTCCATACGCGAGGAGGGAAGGACCGGTCAGGCCAGCGCAGCCGTCCCCAGGACAGGCTGCCTTCTCGAGGCGGGACTCCAGCAGCTACCACCACTAGCCAAGAAACATGCTGTGGTCGGTGGAACAGCCACTTCCAGTGCAAGATCACACCAGCTTAACTCCTAAGAGACTGATGTGTATGCCAGATGACAGCTCGCGTGCATGGCGGCAGAGGGCAGGCCGCGTTACGTGGTCAGTGCACTGGCTGGCTGTGCGAGGCGCCGCACAGAGGCAGGAAGTTGGCTGCTGGGCAGTAGCCGCCTGACAAACATGCCGGCACAGGTCACGTGCCCGACCAGCTAGTCAGGGCACCTGTTTCCCTACAGTCCCGATGGTGCAGACTTCCCTTCGCCCACCCCTCAGCCCTCTTAGCCAAGAACCCTCAGGAGGGACTGGCAGGGTCCCTAGCTGGCCACCTCTCGTGGGGTTTGGCTGCCAGGGCGCTCCCACCTGCCCCTATCACATCCTCCTGGGCCATTCGACAGGTGGCCCATCACCTGTCATATTTACTGCATGTCGACTCTTGCAAAGTACGGCATCCCATTCTTTTTTTTTTTTTTTTTTAATTTATTTTATTTATTTGAAAGATAGTGTTACAGAGAGAGGTAGAGTCAGAGAGTGAGGTCTTACATCCACTGGTTCACTCCCCAGATGACTACAATCGGCTGCGCTGATCCGAAGCCAGGAGCTTCCTCTGGGTCTCCCACATGGGTGCAGGGGCCCAAGGACTTGGGCCATCCTCTACTGCTTTCCTAGGTCATAGCAGAGAGCCGGATCGGAAGAGGAGCAGCCCGAACTAGATCCGGCTCCCGTATGGGATGCCAGCGCCCAGGGCCAGGGCTTTAACCCACTGCACCACAGCACCGGCCCCCGACATCCCATTCTACACTCTTCCAGCAGCCTAAGGGACTTGTGGCCAGAGAGAGAGACCTACGAAGAAGCCCGAAACTTCAGGCAGGAGTGATGAGAGGAAAATGGCCCGCAGGACCCAGCACAGCCCCGAACACTGGCGTCAGCAGTGCCCTGGCTGTCCCCTGTGGGCATGCCAGGCGGTATGTCTGACCACCCACGCCGGTGGGGCTGGCAGAATTCCTTCTCCTTCCCCAGTCAGGCTCACCCTCGGCTCTGGAGGCCCGGTCATTGTGCTCCCTCAAGAAAGAAAAAAAAAAAAAAAAAACAGCCTTGTCTGCTTTCTGGAGGGTGAAGGGTGTGTGGATCTGCTCAGCTACCATCTCAGCCTGAGGCTTCAGCTCTGTTTTCCTGAATCCCGGCCGTGTGCTAAATCCGGACAGAAGCACCTGCTCCATGACAGATGGCCTGAAGTGGAGGAGATGACAGCCTGGGGGGTGGGACCACGTCAGCGCTGCAGGGAGGTGGAGGGAGGGGCTTGCTTGTGATGTCACCGTCACTCAGTCAACAGGTTGGGCACCCAGGGTGCACCTAGATGCTGGTAGGTGTCGGGGAGAAATTGCATCACATGCCCAAAAGCCGCCTCCTGGGAGAGTGCATGGATGGGAGGGTGCAGAAGAGGGTGGACACCATTCATGGAACAGCCGCCTGGTGCTGGTGCAACGGTGAGTGTGGGCCTGGGCCAGGTCTCGGGTCCCAGCTCCGCTGAGCTCTGTGATGTTGGCAAGCTGGCCTTACCTCTGTGCCCTCCTCGGTGGGGGAGAAGTCCACTTGGCAGGGTGGTTGCGAGCGTTAAGTAGGATTGTATGCGAGCCCAGGTTGAGCTGTGGTCCTGACATGGTGGCACCTGTTTGGGAAATGCCAAGGGCTGTGCTGCGGTCACTAATAACAGTGTGACGACAGACCCAAGAATGGTAGCCAGTAGAAGACAGGGGTGACTTCTTCCCAAAGGAGGCAGCAGCCAGGAGGAACCCAGTGGGCTGAAGGGACAGCGTGTGCAGGGGCAGGCCCTGGACCCGGCCGGCGGCACCTGAGAGCCACAGTGGGCAGCGAGGGGGAGCAGCAGGAGGTGCCGCGGGAGAGGCAAGCTGGGGTCAGGCGGCCTGGCAGGCTGCGCGTGACCTTTGCTCCGCATGACCAAGAAGCCAGCAAAGGCTTTAAAAGGGAGCGGTGACTGTGGGGTTGGGCTTTCAGGGAAGCTGATACCGTGTCCTGTGTGCTCCGGGCCACAGGCCCTGCCTCACGCTCCAGCTCGCAGCCAGGCGTGGGAGAGGAGGCGGAGGCCCCGGGAGCTGGCTGCTTTTTAAAGGAGCTGGAGAAGCGGGACTGTACAAGCCAAAGGGGAAGGCAGTGAGGCGAGAGCCAGAGACCGGTCCAGGGAGCCCCGTGTCCCCTGGGGACCCACACTGGGAGGCAAAGACCCAGTGGCTGAAGCAGTGTGGCGACAGAGCTCCTTCGGGGAGCAGGGCGAAGCAGGGGCCCAGGAAACAGAGCCCTGTGTGGGAGCCCAGAACCCACCCTCGGACGCCCTTGGCACGCCATCTTGGTCACTAGACTGGAGGGTGGACAAGGAAACTGAAGGTAGGGAGGTGGCGAGTGCAGGGCTGAGTTTGCATCTGGTCCCTAAACACCTCGCACCATGCCAGCTGGGGGCTGGGCAGTGGGCTGCTCCTGGGTGCTGACAGGTGTCTGGGAGAAATGGCGGCAGTACTCAAAACCCACTTAGTAGCCAGCGCCATGGCTCAATAGGCTAATCCTCCACCTAGCGGCGCCGGCACACCGGGTTCTAGTCCCGGTCCAGGCGCCAGATTCTGTCCTGGTTGCCCCTCTTCCAGACCAGCTCTCTGCTGTGGCCAGGGAGTGCAGTGGAGGATGGCCCAAGTGCTTGAACCCTGCACCCCATGGGAGACCAGGAGAAGCACCTGGCTCCTGCCATCGGATCAGCGCGGTGTGCCGGCCGCAGCGGCCATTGGAGGGTGAACCAACGGCAAAGGAAGACCTTTCTCTCTGTCTCTCTCTCTCACTATCCACTCTGCCTGTCAAAAAAAAAAAAAAAAAACAAAAAACAAAAAACAAAAAACAAAACAAAACAAAAAAACCCACTTAGTGTCTGAGTGGCCGTTTCACTTAGGGAGGTGTGAGGAGGCTACAGATGAGACAGTGGCAGTGGATCATTAGGGCTAGAGCTAAATGGATTTTCGGGATCGCGGTCCAGTCCTGTTTAGGAACCGTGAGATGGGTCTGTTCCCCAGCATTCTGATTCCGATCCCGCGTGAAGAGTGCAGTGGCTGCCACACTGTAGACTGCCTGCTGCTCTGCATTAGGTCCTGCCCCTTAGTGAGGTTAATTTGAAAGGCAGCGTGACAGAGACAGAGGGAAACCGAGAGATGTTCCATCTGCTCGTTCACTCCCCAAATGCCCAAGACAACCAGGACTGGGCCAAGCTGGAGCCAAGAGCCCAGAACTCCATCCTGATCTCCCAAGCAGGTGGCAGGGACCCGAAACTTGAGACACCGTGTGCCGCCTTCCGTGCGCACTAGCAGGGCGCTGAATCAGGCAGGGAGACAGCACTGATTCCGGGCACGGTGACAGGAGGTGCAGGCGTCCCAAGAAGTGCGCCACGATGCCCCCCCCCCCCATCCTTTTTTTTTTTTTTTTTTTGGACAGAGTTATAGGCAATGAAAGAGACAGAAAGGTCTTCCTTCTGTTGGTTCACTCCCCAAATGGCCGCTATGGCCAGCACTGCACCGATCTGAAGCCAGGAGCCAGGTGCTTCCTCCTGGTCTTCCATGCAGGTGCAGGGCCCAAACACTTGGGCCATCTTCCACTGCACTCCCGGGCCACAGCAGAGAGGTGGACTAGAAGAGGAGCAGCCAGGACTAGAACCTGGTGCCCATATGGGATGCTGACGCCACAGGCGGAGGATTAACCAAGTGAGCCACGGCGCCGGCCCCCATCCAGTTCTATATTTAAATGATGACCCCACTCCAGCTGCCGGAGTCCATCCAGGCCGCGCCAGGGTCAGCCCGCATCACGTGTCCACTCATTCATGCACACCACCGTCTTCTGCAGTCCCCCTCGGACTTCCAGCCTCACGGGCAGGTCCTGGGCACGCGCTTAGGACTCCCACATCCCATATCTGAGGGCCTGGGTTCGAGTCCTGGCTCTGCTTCCGGTTCCAGCTTCCTACTAAGGCACACGCTGAGAGGCAGCAGGTGACAGCTTACCCACTTGTGCCCTGCTGTCCACACAGGAGACCACGATGGACTGCTGGCTTCTGGCCTGGGCCTGGCCCAATCCCTGGCTGCTGCAGGCATTTGGGGAGTGAAGCAGCGATGGAAAATCTCTTATCTCTCTGCCTTTCAAGTAAATTAATAATAATAATAATAATAATAATAATAATAATAATAAAATCAACCCCAAATCGCTGCATCCATTGCTGCCCTGT